TCATTCATGATTAAAAAAAAAAAACTCTCGGCAAACTAGGAATAGAAAGGAACTTCCTCAACTTAGTAAAAAAGCATCTACAAAAAGCCTACAGCTAATATAATACTTAATGGCAAGAAAATAGAAGCTTTCTAGTTTGAAACTGAATTAAAAACATCATACTTGATGGTGAAAATCAGGAAGAAGGCAAGGCTGCCCCTTCTCACCATTCCTTTTCCATATAATACTGGAAGTCCTAGATATTTTCGAAAGGAAGAAATTACTTTTGCTTAAAGATGATGTTGATTGTCAAAGTAGAAAATCCCAAAGAAACAATCATAACAACAACAAAAATATCTCCTGCAATAAAAGATTGTAGCAAGGTTGCAGAAGACAAGGTTAATATATTAAAGTCAATCACTTTCCTATTTACCGACAATAAACAAACAGAATTTGAAATAAAAAGTACAGCAGTATTTATATTAATACCAAAATATATTTAGGTATGAATATGAGAAAATATATGCAAGTTATATATTAGGAAAACTATAAAAGTCTGATAAAGAAATCATAAAAAAACTAAATAAATAGACAGCCAGCTTGTGTATAGAAAAGCTCAAGATATCAAGATATTAATTCTTCCATACTCCATCAATAGATTCAATGCAATCCAAATAAAAATCCTAGCAAGTTACTTTCTGGATATCAACAAAATGATTCTAAAGTTTATATGCAGAGGCAAAAGACCCAGAATAATCTACCTGCATTGGAAGAAAAGATGAGAGGTGAAGGCCTGCACCTATCTGATTTACTTTCAAGACTTACTTTACTTTCAAGACTTACTTTAAAGCTACATTAATCAAGACAGTGTGATATTGGTGAAAGAATAAACAAAAAGATCAATGGAACCGAACAGAGAGCCCAGAAATAGACTCATCAATGTAAATACAATCAATCAATCTTTGACAAAGGAGCAAAGACAATATAATGGAGCAAAGATAGTGTTTTTAACAAATGGTGCTGGAAGAAATTCATGTCTAATTTCTTACACTCTTCACAAAAATTAACTTGAAATAGCTCATAGACCTAAACATAAAACACACAACTATAAAACTCTTAGATGATAACACAGGAGAAAACCTAGGTGACCTCAGACTTGGTGGTGACTTTTTAAGATACAACACCAAATGCAAGATCCATGATGGAAATAACTGATAAGCTAGACTGTATAAAAATTAAAACATTTGCTCTGTTAAAGCCACTGTCAAGAAAATGAGAAGATAAGCCACAGACTGGGAGAAAATATTTGAAAAGAGGCATCTGGTAAAGGATTGGCTTCTAAAATATACAAAGAACCATTAAAACTCAACAATTAAAAAAGGAACACTCCAATTTAAAAATGGGCAAAGACCTGAACAGATAGCTCACCAAAGATATGCAGATAGCAAATAACCATACGAGAAGATGTTCTACATCATATGTTACTAGAGAACTGCAAATTAAAGCAACAATGAGATACTGCTACACAGCTATTAGAATGGCCACAATCCAAAATACTGACAAGTATGTGGAACAGGCTCTCATGCATTGTTGGTAAGAACATAAAATGATACAACCACTTTGGAAAACTAAAAAAGAAAAAAAAAAAAGCTAGTTTGGAAAAAAAGCAGTTTGTCAGTTTCTTACAAAAATAAACATATTTTTACCATAAAATCAAGCCATTGTGGTTATTTATTGGTATTTACTCATAGGACTTGAAAACTTATGGCCACATAAAAACCTGCACATGGATGTTTGTAGCAAATTTATTCATAACTGCGAAGCTTAGAATCAACCGAGACATACTTCAGTAGGCAAACAGATAAACGCTGGTACATCCAGATAATGTAATATTATTCAGCACTAAAATTAAATGAGCTATCAAACCATAAAAAGACACGGAGGAGCCCTGAGTTGCATATTACTAAGTGAGAGATGTCAACCTGAAAAAGCTACACACTCTATGATTCCAACTACACAACATTGTAAAAAGATGAGGGGTTGCCGGAGATGAAAGGGGAGGGAGCGATGAACGGAGCACCGGGGATTGTTGGGGCTGTGAAACCACTCTGCACGCATCACAGCGGCCGACACAGGTCATCACACATCCGGCGCAGCCCGCGGACTGTGTAACACCGAGTCAGTTCTAACATGCAGAGGGACTCTGGGTGACGGCGTGTCGCCATCTGCTCATCACCAGTAACGTGTACTCTGGTGGGAACACTGATACTGCCGGAGGCTGTGCACGTTGGGGTCAGGGGGCAGGTGGGAAATCCCTGCACTGAGCTCTCAGTTTTGCTCTAACCCTAAAATGGCTCTAAGAATAAAATCTATTTTTTTATTAAAAAAAAAAAAAAGGAACGATAAACCGCAACATCAGGTTACTTTGTGGAGGGGGTGAAAAGTCATGGAATTGTGGGTACAAACTGAGGGCTTCTAGGATTCTGGTTAGTTCTTCAGTTGAGTGGTAGGTGCCCATATGGATCACTGATGACTTTTCTTAGTCACTGGATTTACCACCCTTAGTGTTGACCTTAAGAGTACTAGCTGACTGAGACAACAGCTTTTCCTTATTGTTGAAGCCCCATTTCGAGTTTTGCTATCCAGGTTTCATAGTTAAAATCATCCAAATGGATAATCTCCTAATTTGGATGCAGTACAACTGGGATCTGATTTAGCACAAGCCATCATTTAATCCTATTTTGTTTGCCTAAGTGTATCATTAAAGCCTTAGATTATTAGTTACTTCCAACTATGAAAAAAAACCTTTTCTTTGGAAAGAAGAGACTCTCATTAAACAACTCAGCATTCTCGCAATCCTGAAAGGCATCTTTGTTGAAAACATTCTGATTAAGCCTATGTGATAACAAGGGCAATCAAGACTTCTCTTTAAAAACATCTATAAATCACCAAATAGATAAGGAGTCAGGCCATTACTCTTGCCCCCGGCAGAAAGCAGCTTAATCTGACCGGAAGATCACCCAGTTCCCATCGGAGCCCCAGGCTGGAGGTCAGACCACACAGCTGAATTCAGCCACCACGGAAGCTCTTGAAAAAGGAACACACAGAAATGGGAGATTTTGTTCAGAAAGGAGCACGTTCTCTGCTGTTTTCGCCAGAGGAATAAAGAACAGTGGCATATCCACAGAGAAGTCTTACACTGGAGACTTAATAGGGTGTCCTGCTGAGGAAATCAGACCTCCACCCCACCTACGTGCAGATATAAAGAAATGGGTGCTGTGCTCAGTCATTTCCAACTCTTTGCAACCCCGTGGGCTGTAGCCCGCCAGGCTCCTCTGTCCATGGGATTCTCCAGGCAAGAATACTGGAGTGGGTTGCCATGCCCTCCTCCAAAAGAAATGGGTAGATAAGAAATAAGGGCCAACAGAGGGGCCTACATGAGCACGTACCATTAATTCTATCTACCAGACACAGTTTCACTTAACCTTCCAAACAATCCTGCAAAAGTGAGTCTGCTCACTGAACAGGTGAAGGTGCAAAGAGTTGTGGCAAACTGTCAAAGGCTGCCCACTAGCGGCTGGTAGAGTCAAGGTTAAACCTACAGCTGACTGTGAATGGATAAAGAAAATGTGGTGTATATATTTTATACAAATATACATACACACACATACATACACACACACACACAGTGGAATGTTACTCAGCCATAAAAAAGAACAAAATATTGCCATTTGCTGCAACATGGATGGACTTAAAGACTATCATGCTAAGTGAAGTCAGCCTGAGAAAGACAAATATCATGATATCACCTATGTGAAGTTAGTGTCACTCAGTCATGTCCGACTCTTTGTGACCCAGTGGACTATACAGTGCCTGGAATTCTCCAGGCCAGAACACTGGAGTGGGTTGCCTTTCCCTTCTCCAGGGGATCTTCCCAACCCAGGAATCCAATCAGGGTCTCCTGCATTGCAGGTGGATTCCTTACCAACTGAGCTATCAGGGAAGCCCAACATCACCTATATGTGGAGTCTAAAAAATGATGCCAATGAACTCTTGACAAAGCAGGAATACACGCACAGACATAGAAAACAAACTTATAGTTACCAAAAGGAAAATTGGGGGGTAGGGATAAAGTAGCAGTTTGGGATTAACAGACACACACTACTCACACAAAACAGATGATCAACAAGGATCTACTGCGAACTATACCCAATATTGGTAATAACCTGTAAGTGAAAAGAATCTGAAAAAGAATTTATATACACACACACGTGTGTGTGTGTGAGTGTATATATACACACGTGGGCTTCCCTGGAGGCTCAGTCAGTAAAGAGTCTGCCTGCAATGAGGGAGACCTGGCTTTGATTCCTGGGTCAGGAAGATCCCCTGGAGGAAAGCATGGCAACCCACTCCAGTATTCTTGCCTGGGGAATGCCCATGGACAGAGGCGCCCGGCGGGCTGCAGTCCGTGGGGTCGCACAGAGTAGGACACGACGGAGCGACTAAGCACAGAACGTGTGTGCTCACGCGCACACACACACATACATGTGTACAACCAAATCACTTTGCTATACACCCAAGACTAAAACAACATCGTAAATCAACTGCACTTCGATCTGAAAATAAAGCCTGTATTTGTCTGACTCTAAAGCTTTATACTCTTTGCTTTACGTCGTACAGAAAACAAGATGACTGCAGAACTCGGTCTTAACCGCACCAGCTCTTAGCAGGGACTCCTGCCAAGTGCAGTGCTGGCCACACCAGGAAGATGCAGGCCCAGCTGAGCTGAGCAGGAATTCCATCAGGAAGAGGGGCTGCTACCATCCTTGGCTCCCAGCCCACAAACCTGGCCCTCACCTCTGTCGGCCACTTCACGCATGCGTCATCTTGGCCACAAGGGAGCACGGTTAAAAAATACAGGGTTTGCTGAAGGCAACCACACCCCTGTCTGCGCTCTGACCAGCTTCCCCGTGAAGCTCGCTCCTGACGCCTGTTCTACCGCCGGCGATCTCTACAGTTACCTAAGGTCCAGCTGGAGACGGCCCTCAGGAGGGAGGCACTGCTGTAGATGGCGTGCATGTACATGAGATGAACCATCAGCTCTGCCAGCCACCAGTAGAAGAGGAGACGGCCCAGCCCCAAGACAAGGATGGAAAGGCTGGTCTTCGGCGGGCTCTGCTCCTGCTGCTGCATCTAAAGAGGAAACGAAAGAAGTCATCAGATGGCGCCACCATTTTTAAAATCTTTCAGAGTCCCCCGGACAGCGTTTTTTATAAGTTATCATCTCTGTTATCTCTGAATGGAGGGTCGGTTTAGTTTGCCTTGGGAGTGCTCAGTGCTCTTGGGTGAAAAGAATCATGTCTGACAAATCTCGTATGATATCACATATAAAATGATACAAATGAACTTATTTAGAAAATAGACACAGACTCACATAGAAACCAAGCTTATGGTTACCAAAGGGGAACGGAGGGGGTGGGGGGGATAAATTAACAGTTTGGGATTAACAGACACACACTACTATACATAAAATAGTTAACAGACAAGGACCTACTGTACAACTATATTCAATATCTTGTCATAACCTATAAAGGAAAAGAATCTTAAAAAGAGTAAACAAACAGACAGCTAGTGGTAAAGAACCCACCGGCCAGTACAGGAGACATAGAGACATGGGTTTGACCCCTGCAGGGGGGAAGATCCCCTGCAGGAGGGAATGGCAACCCACTCCAGTGTTCTTGCCTGGAGAATCCCCATGGACAGAGGAGCCTGGCAGGCTACAGTCCATGGGGTCGCAAAGATTTGGCCATAACTGAAGCGACTGAGTGCATATAACTGAATCATTTTGCTGTATACCCAAAACTACCGCCAACACTGTGAATCAAATTATATTTCAATTAAAGTTTTTTTAAAAGTCACGTCCAAGTTAGAATACTCTGTCCCAGAGTAAGAATATAGCTTGTGGGGGCCACAGCTAGCCCAACGCCGAGAACCAAGAAGGGGTTCTGCACCCTTCACCCCAGCAGCAGCCCTGCCAAAACTCAGGGCAGAGGGCAATTCCTGATGTATCCTAGACAAACACACAAAAACAACAAAGAGATTTCCCTGGTAGTTGAGTGGCTGAGACTCTGCACTCCCAGTGCCGGGGGCCCTGGTCTGATCCCCGGTCAGAGAGTTTAGATCCTGCATGCTGCAATGAAGACCCGGTGCAATCAAAAAACAAGCTAAAGCAAGCAAACAAAACACCAAGAGAGCGTACATAAGTTTTCTGGATGTTACTGACGTGATTTTATTAGGCTGAAGGCTGGCTTGAAATGCAGAGGGGAAGTGGATGCCTTAATTGCGAACTTGTAGCTGCGCACACTGGCAGGCAGAGGATACGGACTCGATTCAGCCTTTGACAAGTAGGGCTCCAGACACCACAAAAACACGGGAGGCCCGGCCCTGGGGAAAGTGATCTGGGCATGCTTTATCTCACTTCTCCTCTCCTCTAACCATGAGCGAGCACTGGGTCCCACTGCAGCCAGGAAAGGCTGCAGGCACAGCCCTGAGAGGTGACGGGTGACTACACTCCCAGGAATTCATTTTTATTCCATTCTTGAGCATACAGTCTACCATGGTCTCAAACTGTCCTCTTCCAGCAAGGAGCCAGACCAAGAAATTCGGGCTGGCACAGTGAAACTATGAAACTACAATCACCGGCGTGGATGGCTTTCACCCTTTTGTCATCGGCTGGGTTAGCTACACCCAGGAAAGCTGTTGGTTTAACTTTTTTAATGTAAGCCGATCAAGCTACAGGAATTTCCTTTCTCCTTTCGCTTTCTTCCGTTCACCTGAGAAAGATAATGTGTTAGGAAACGAAAGTATTAATAACTGCTTTGAAAGATCCATGCCACCAGGTTTGCCAGGGGAAGTGCTGGCTGGCGAGGTTATCCAGGGAGCTAAGCCTCGGTGTGCAGTCTGGCACGGATCACAGCTCACTGTAATTACAGCCCCAGCCAATGGGATGCCCCCGTCCCCCGCCTCCTTCTCCAGGAATAACTGAGGGTGGTTTTCATCTGAATCCTTACCTCAAGCGTGCCTGCTCTGCGAGACCCTACAAAGTCTACAGCAGTGCGTCAACGAGCCCGTGGAGAACAAAATCCTCAGTTAAGAGACCTCGGCCTGCCTGACCCCTCGTGTCTCCATTACTTAAGAAGAAACAGGAAACCATGCAAATGTCCAGCAGTAGGGCGTGGGGCTTGGTAACATGCATGAGCGCACCTCAATCGTACATAGTCACAAAAACACTATTTTTTGATACCAATCTGCAAAAATCATGAAAAGCTGGAGAGAGAGACACCAAAACGGCAGCACTGATGGTAATCTTTGGATGGTGAGGGTCTTCAGTGATTTTAAACTGTTACTATTTTTGTAATTGGGGAAGGTAATGCAAGTTTACACTACTGTGAAGACGTTGGTCCTCTCTGCTAGAGAGACAAGTGCTCTGTTTCTGCACCCTTCTTGTAAAAATTGCTAAGTCTCTGGACCTCCTCTGGGGAACGCGGCATCCTCAACGAGGAGGCCTGCCCCTCTCTCTCTTCTGCGCCAGCCCCATCTTTATTTTTCCCGAAGTCCCACTTCAGGGCTTCCCTGGCGGTTCACTGGTAAAGAACCCGCTTGTCAATTCAGGAGACTCAGGTTCAATCCCTGGGTCAGGAAGATCCCCTGCAGAAGGAAATGGCAACCCACTCCAGTATTCTTGCCTGGGAAATCCTATGGACAGAGGAGCCTGGTGGGCTACCATCTGCGGGATTGCAGAGAGTCAGACAAACTTAGTGACAAAACAACAACTACTTTCCCACCTTACTCAGAGATTTTCTTAGCTATACGCCTTAGCATCAAAAAGACACATACACCCCAATGTTCATTGCAGCACTATTTACAATAGCCAGGACATGGAAGCAACCTAAATGTCCATCAACAGATGAATGGATAAAAAAGACATGGTACATACATTACACAATGGAATATTATTCAACCATAGAAAAGAACAAAATTGGGTCCTCTGAAGAGACACAGATGGACCTAGAGACTCTCATATGGAGTGAAGGAGTGAAGTAAGAAAGAGAAAAACAAATACTGTCTAATAAAGCAAACTCATTTTGACTTAATGAGCATCAACAGATGAAGAAATGATGACAGTGTCCATCAGTCTATGACTGCTAGAACAGTTCACACCAAGGCAATCGGCTGAGCCAAGACACAAGAGGCACCGAACTCTACTCCAGGACAGTGGGCAGGGCCTTTCTTGGTGCCAGACTTTTGGAGGAAAGCAGCTTCCCTGACTGAACGTGATAACAACTCACAAGCAGAACTGACCAAAGACCATCTTTGCACAACTGTCTCCAGCTTCTAAATAAGCAACGGTGCACATGACCTGCAGGCCCCTGCAGACGGCTAACCCCCGGCTCAGGTCCCCTGAGGACCTGCACCTGTGGTCTCGGGGCATCACTGGGTGTACAGACAGCCCCGTCCCTGGGAGCAGAGAAGAGACAGGAGAGCCACTGCTGGATCAGGACAATGGGCCCCACCAGGTGATCGGGAAGTAAGTCTGGCCAATCGCCTGCAGCTCAGGAGACCACATGCCACGGGCAGGCCAGAGGCCCTCCTCTCCTTCCCCAAACAAGGCACCATCTAAGGGACCCAAAAATCTGTAGTTAGGAAGAAACACGAGGTACGTGGTGTGCCTGACTGGCTTCCCGGTAACGACTTAACTACCTTCCCCGGGGCCCAACTTCCTCCCCAGGCTGCAAAAGGCATAATTATGTGGCACCCCTGGACCAGAAGGGCTGGCCTTTTCTCTGCAGTGCTCCCTTTTTGATGCTGGATGTCTCCCCAGTCAGAGTATGAGAAATGTATATTCCTTAATTGCACCAGCAAATCCAGCAGAAAGAAAACAACCCTGATTTTCACTCTATTTGTTTCTACTTTAAAAAGAATGGATATCAGTTTTTCTTTAGAGTCGTGTCATTATTACAATCCCTGTATACCTTCCATCGAGTTGACTCCCTTTTATTTAAAAAACTGTATCTGTCCCTTGTCGATCCGGCAGGAAGAAGACACACCACACACAGCTCACCTAACAAGCAGGGTTGCTCATTATTCAACCTCAGCATGCAAAGCATTTTGCCGGAGATATTTTAAACCGAGGGCAGTGCCAACCTTAAGACCACTGGAAACTGCCGCCAATGGGAACTTTTAGTGAAGGCACCACGAAAAAACACATTAACTCATCTGCAAAGAGCATTGTAAAACACATTATATTTTAAAACCTCATTTCATGCAAATTGCATAAAAAGGCATATCAAGCCTTTCAGAGATATTCTAATGATTCAAGGTGACAGTTCTCAAAGCTGAAAGGTTCTTTCACACATGAATAATACCCACATTGGAGAGCACCAAAGAGAAGCCTTCCCCCAGACACAACTGTTCAACCGAGTCACCTCTGCTCCGGCCTCTGCACTTGGCTCCAGGGCACTGTGGCCCAAGTCTTGCTCCTTTATAAGGAGGGCGTTTCTCTCCAGCCCACGGTCTCAGGCCATACCCCTTCCGCAGTAAAGGATTCCCTAGTCAGACCCTCACTACATCCAGACCAAGGCAGGTGATACCCACTGGTCTCTGCCAGGACAGCAAGTGGGGCCTGAAGTCGGGGTAGCGGCCGCAGGACTGGGACCTGGCCTGGCCAGCTTGGGTGTCCAGACACGCACGTCCACTACATCACGCTGCATCCTCACTCTAAGCCCTGTGAGGGTCAAAGAGCTGGCAGCAAAGCTCCAGTCTTTATTCCCCCCACCCCAACACGCACCCCATTAGCCTTTCTTTGCCTCCGTGTTACTGTCTGTGAAGTGGGAATAACAATGTCTTACTCCTCGGGCTGTTGCTAGGATGAAACGTGTTAGAAGATGGAAAGCCTGGTTAGGGGTAAGTGCTCAGTGCATATTCCTCCTCCCGGTTAGCATCACTGCAGGTGCCTCGAGCGCCTACCCCAAACCCGGGGTGGTCTGGCTGGGACAGTGACTGCCAGCCCTGGCCTCTCAGGGACTGGACCCACCCCTGTGGCCACTGCCTGCATCTATCTTCCGCTGACCTCCTCTGAGGCCGGGGATGGCTCCTGCCCAGAATCGTGCCCAGAACGGCCCCCGCTGCCGCCC